AGAGAGAGAGAGAGAGAGAGAGAGAGAGAGAGAGAGAGAGAGAGAGAGAGAGAGAGAGAGAGAGAGAGTAGTCCCTTGAAAAAAGAGGAGGAGGAGGAGAAGAAGAAAAGGGCAGAGGCGAATGGGCGTATAGCTTATTTGGTACATTTATGAACTGTTGAAATACAGACCTGAGATCGAATCCAGATGGAACGGGTTCTGAATGAAATAAAGTAATTGTGAATTGCCTGGGGCCGGTCACCTCGACGATATCTTAAGGACGTCGCCCTTTGGAAAACAAGAAGGAAAAGGGCAGAGGGAGAGAAGAGAGAGAAGGAAAAGGCGCAGAGAAGGGAGAGAGAGAGAGAGAGAGAGAGAGAGAGAGAGAGAGAGAGAGAGAGAGAGAGAGAGAGAGAAGGGAAGGAAAAGGCGCAGAGAAGGGAGAGAGAGAGAGAGGGAGAGAGAGAGAGAGAGAGAGAAGGGTAGCAAGGATAACAGGAGGGGAGAGAAGGATAACAGGAGGAGGTAAAGGGTTCGAATCCCGTTTGTTCTGTAATCAATATTCGTATATCATATTGAATCCAACAACCTGGGGGTGGCTGAAGAGAGAAAGAGAAAAGCAAAGGGACAGGGGAAGAGAAGAAAAGAATGGTCCCAAAAAAGAAGAAAAAAAAGAAAAGAATGAAGGTGTTTTTTCTTTCACAATTTGCTTGTCAGTTAAAAAGAAAATAAAAAAACAATTGAGCGACTGCTGAAAACATATGCAGGCTTTTCTGAAACTTTGTTCTGTACTTCAGGAGGCGATTTTGTGGAGACGGCATGGTCCAATCATTCAGTGTTATTATTATTAAATCGTATTAAATTTACCTTTTAAGTTTTTTAAAGTTTTAATGTTTAAAACAGGTCATCGGTTGGAATCCCAATGCAATCAGATTACCTTAATATTTAATATAACAGAAACAATTAACTTAATTAGTAAATTAATAATTAATCAAATAAATTAATAATTTAATTTAATAAATAAAAAATAGTAATAAATAATTAATAAATTAATTTAGTAAATAATAAAAAATAATAAATTAATTTAATAAATAGTAAAATTAATAATTAATAAAATAAATTAATAAATGAGTCATCGGTTACGCAGAGGAAAGGATAAGGTTCTCGCCGCAGTACTGATCAGACTTGAAAACTGGGGAGTGCATCGTAACATAGAAGCTGGAAAAATACATCATCGTCCACTATTCTGAGCGGCTGATGTATCTGGCCAGCTTCTAAGTGACTATGCACTGGCCTTTTTTTCGCTGCAGATGTATCTTGCCAGCTTCTAAGTGACTATGCGCTTGCCACTTTTTTTCCCCCCCAAAAAACCAAAGCCCTACCTTCTTCAACTGAATGAAACGCACAATATTACAAACAACAAAATACAAAAATACACAATACAATAAAAAATACAAATTTACAAATTTATTGCAGGACAAAAAATTACAAATTACAAATTTATTAAATATAGAATGCAAAATTACAAGTTTATTACAGAATGCACAGTTACCCGGCTGCCAATAGTCGCTATTCTTAAAAAAAAAAAAAAAAATTGCCCGGTGAACGTGCCCGGTGGGGGTACCTAGGCAACAGCAAAAGGGTGGGGCTTTTTTTTTTTTTTTTTTTTTTCCCTTTGTTAGGCAGTGGGGCAATTGTGCGCTCACTGAGATGTGCTCAAATCCAGCCTTGTCTCTGAATTTGGTGACGTCTCACTAAAGGTTGTCTAATAGGGTATAAATGTGGTAGGAAGGGGCTTGAAGGGGCTGAAAGGGGCCTGAGATAATATAATTTTTTGTTTTTATTTTTTATTTCAAATTCCATAACGAATTTGAGGATGACACTCAGCCAAAAGTTGTTTGATGTTTTCTTCTTCTTCTTCTTCTTCAAAAAAAAAAAGAAAAAAAGAAAAACAAAGTTGTTTGATTTGCAGGTTTTTTTTTTCCCCCGTCCAGATCGTAGTAGAGGCTGGATGCTAGGCCTGGGAGATAACTGATTCGGTGAGGAAGATTCACAAGCCAATCAACGCAGTATCGAAGATACAGGTTCAAAAAGCTCATGTATATTCCAGTACAAGAGTACAAAAGCACACATGTACAAAGATTGCATGCCGGTTGGGTATGGCTCCCCGACCGATTTCGACCGCAGCCACGCGGTCATCCTCAGGGGGTTTCCACCGTACTACACCCGATACTCACGCGGCCTTCCACTCACCTACCTCCACCGTTGACCCACTAACCATCTCCGGAAACAGTAAGTGGTGGCTAGCGTTGGACCCGGAAAAGAGCAACTGTCACGCAATCATTACCTACATAGTCCGTAAAGAGGCATCGCCTCGGTCTGTCCCATTAGGCAGCTATTGCGTTACAAGTTCGAGATCAGACCAGTTCGAAAAAACAACAAACACAAGAAAGTGAACAAACAGAACAAAAACGACTAAAAACGGAACACATCACACACAGAGCCTACCTCCAGCAAGTGCTAAACCACACCTAGAAATAGGAGCCTACAGACAGTGGCACAGTGAAGGTACCCGGTTCAAATCTTCTCACAGTCCCCAACGGATCATACGAAAAGCAAACAGCAGTACTGAGGTACCATGATCGAAACCCTGTCCTCATAAACCAGAGGTACCAGGTTCGAAACCCTGTCCTCATAAAACTAAAACTAAAAACTGGAAAAAAAAAAAAACAAACAAACTATTGGGGTGATTGTACCCGACGAAATACAACAGATCTAAAAATACAGTGGCTACCACTAATTCCTACTGCCTAGTACGAGCAATCAGTCAGTCAAACAGTCATCAACCACGCACCCTCCATTGTCACGCATTCCACACTCACTCAGGATACAGCCAATTAACAGTCCGGTTCCAAACACCGTCCCGTCCCTTAGCGAAACGCTTCACAACGCGTTCCACAAAACGAGCTGGAAAATCCTTCATTCTCAGCTCGCGAGTCAAACTCAACACTTGCATTGGGATCTGTGATTGTACATTTCTATTCCGATCGATCCTGTGCAGATGGCTAGCAATCACAGGCACTCTTTTGCTGTTTGCTGCCCCAAGAACGGTATGACTGCCCATTCTTGAGCTCCAGCTGAGTCCCCACTCCCCAAATCGTCCTCTCATTCTTAGCTGTCTGGTAAGAGGTAACAAATGGCTGAATCTGGTTGACACTCATCTGAGTACCCCAAAAATCCCGGGAACCGGACCCATCGTTGGTCCTCTTCAGTAGAAGGTTCTTTGGATAACATGATTCAAACTGAGATTGGATCTCTTCGGCTGTCATGGAGCTGTGCCTTCGTTCCAGGACAACAAGGCTCACATCGTCCATCAGGCGGACCCCAAACACGTCCCTGCTTGCCCTCCCCAAATTCCGCAGGAACTTGAATTCTGCGAAAGCACACAAGATACACGCTAATGGGGGGCTAGTACTCTTCCCCATAGGAATCTCAATTACTTGCCTCAGAAGTACCCCAGTAGCCTGAGTGTACGCGTGCCTCAGTTCCATACGCACAAAACATTTGATCTGTTGCAGATCAACAGAACGCCAATGATAATCCCCCGCGGTTCGACCAAAAGTACAACCCTTACCCCATGCGCTAACTCGGACCTGTCTTCGGCCTTTACCCAGATGGTAATCAACGAGCCAATCCACGGCTTCCTCAATCTCATCGTGCGGTAACTTACTAAACATGTCCTTGATGTCATATGACATCGCGGACAACACCGAGCTAATCCCCATCCTTCTCCCAACCATCTTATTAATACGGTCAAGAGTCAGAACCAATGAAGATACAGATTTAAGATTAAAATGCCAGTCCCGCGGCAGAGTGTACAACATGTGGTTGAGTGCCTTCACGACCAACCTACATCCTTTGATCGTAGGCTCTGAGTAGGTTGGACATATAGGCCGAAATCTCGTGAGATCCTTATGTTTTGGCATAACGTATGCCTCACCAATCTTACCCTTCTTATCCCATTGCACCAGATTCGTCAATCCTGCCTTCTCGACATCCGATCTCATTTCTTCCATCACCTTCGCTTCCTGAATCCCAGTAACGACATATCCTGTGCTTGCTACGAATAGCTCAAGCATGGCTTCGTAGTACACCTTTGGACATAGCACCAGGGTATCCCCCGGGTTTCTGTCCAGCGGTGTCAGAACGAGCCCGTCCAGTCTCGCTTTGAGCCGATGCACCTCCCTCAAATCAAGGAATCTTGTCTTTGCATCCGGCTCGCCAGTGAGACAAGCTTCCGCATCACCTCTACTAACCATCGGCCTTGGTCCCCTCCAGTTTGCCCAACCTTCCAACCCAGACATGATCTCTTGTCTCAACAGGCTCCCACGATCCGGATGAGAAAGTTTAGGGACGTTATTAGCATTGCAAAGGAGCGGATCAATGTCTCCAATTCATGCAATCGAAACCATACGTGACCTCCTATCCTAGGATAGGGAAGACCTGCACACGAGCAGGTCGCCACTTCAGCTCGGGAGAACCCCCGCTGATTGTGCAAAAGGCTACCCACCAACGGGTTCTTAACCCAGACGATGCGTATACCTCTTCGCGCATGGTTCTTCAAACATGCTGGAATAACTGACTCCTCCAGTTTATCATTCAAAAACTTCCTAACTTCCGCAATACGGATCCTATCGTCAAACTTCAACTTCACTGTCACCTTCGAGTTCAGACTCCATCCAAAGCACGACTTGATCGTCCTGCCAATGATGCGCCTCAGGTAAGCTGTCGTGGCTGCTTTTTGAAAATCCTGCGCAGCCCCCGTCAACCTAATTAGAACATCCAGATTGCAATTCTTCAGAGCTCCCACACGATTCTTGCGTCGTAGGATCGAGATTAAGAAGTTCTTATCCTTGGAAATCTTTGGCTTCCATCTTCTCAGATGGAGAATCTCCAACTCGACACCCTTTTCCATCTCTTGCTTACACGTGTACAGCTTACAGCGTTGACCATCGATCTTAACCTCCGAGTTACCAAAACTCAATCGAATCGACTTTCAACCGCCACACCAACAATTCCCTTCACTGAAGCGAAAGGTGAACCGACTACAACCCGCCTCCTCTCGCGCTAACAGGACATGAAAGCAGTTGGCACTCCAGTCATCCGTGTCACTTAGCCTAGCTCTGATAGGAATGACGGCTTCAAGTTTCGAGGATGCATATTCCGGTGACGACTTCTTCCCACGTTCACGTCGTCCCTTCCTCCTCCGTCCGACCCCTTTGCGAACCTTGGTCCTACCCGTAGAATTTAAAGCCGGGCACCATCGCCAAATGAACATGTCCTCCATCAGTACCAAATTTGCTCGCGAGCAGCGGTCAATGGGAATCATAACGTAGGACTCAAACCCAAACACCCTCCACCATCTGTACAGATGAGTCTGTTTACTACCTCGTTTACATACCGAAATATGTTCCTTCCATCGCGTCTTTTCATCTCTACCAGTCTGCCCCACGTATTGAGCTCGACATAAAGGAGAGGTAAGAACATAAACCCCTCCACAGTCTTTTGTAAAGCACTCAATCCCATATTGCTTATACAGCTCAACCCAAGATACGACACATTTCATCATCCAGCGAATCTGGTAGCTTAAGGCCAGCGAGATAATAACAAGTCTGTAAATAACTTCGACAGCCTCATTGTAAATGTTCTCCCGACGTGAAGCAATCAGACAATCGCAGAGAGCCCACAACTTACTATTCGTTCATGCATAGCTATCCTCCACCACGTCTTCTTCTCCGCCATGGTCCACTTGATTCTCCCCCGTTTCCTCACCCTGAACCTTCGCCTCCTCATCACCATAAGCGATATGCGTGCGTTTTTCAGCAATAGCCAGAATCGCCTGCATTTTCTTACCTTCGTACTCCACGTCTTCTGACTGGCAGATCTTCTTCAATTCTTCCACAGTCATATCACCCAATTCCCTCAAGTTGTCTGTCACAAATTTGAGTTTCCCGATTGTACCCGAGGCAGCCGGGATCTTCCTCCGGCCCGTGCCCGGTGTCTTACATGGAGGTGTCTTCTTCATTAACTGATGACGACAACCGAGCTGAAGTCTTCGTTTGGCTGTTCGCTTCGCTGGTGTTACCATCGGCGGGCTGTCGCCAACCTGCTTCTCAGCTCCTCGTTTCCTTTTTTCCGAGATGACAAGCTTCTCGGTCTTACGACTCAGCGATTCCACCTCGCTTTCGTAGGAATCCGGGTCGTCATCATCGGAAGATGAGACTACTGCCTTATGCTTGCCTTTGGCTCGCTCCTTGACTTCCCGCTCATAGCGATGCTGAAGAGACTCATCCAACTTTCCCATGCGAAGGGAGAGCTCCATGAGCAACTCCTTCAACAACAACTGCCGGTCCTCCTCTTCCTTACGCAGCTTTGCCTCCTTCCGTTCCGCACGCCTCTGGTTGGCTAAACGTGCTTCCTCGGCCGCTTGGGCATCTTCCTCCTCCTTTTTATTATGCTCCAACTTCTCCATCTTCTTCTTTTTCTTTTCTTCCTTAGCTGCTGTTTCCGCATTGAACACCTCCTTCATCATTGCCATAGACGCGGCTAATTCCTCTATCTGACGCTTAACAGCGGGATCTTCCAAAGAAGCTCGCGGCTCGGGGTATCGTAACTGTTGCCGTGGCGAAAGCGACCTGCCACGTTGACCGACTACTCTTGAGGTACCGTCACGTCCCAACTTCGGGCACTGGTTCCTATAATGCCCAGGCTCTCCGCATTCAAAACAGACCGGTGCAAACCGGTTAGGTGCCTCCCTCTGACCCGTGTAGCTGGAGCTTCCCCTTTCGATAGATCGCTCCCTACGCCCTTCGCCCCGTCGGTCACGTCCTCCATCGTATCCTCCCGACTCCCGCCCTCTATCCCAACTCCGATCCCGACGATCGTCACTCCCATGATCTCGATAATTCGAGCCCATGCGGCCACCGCCGCTCCAAGTAGTAGGTCGAGATACAAACCGACCACTGCAACATCCACTGTAGTCCACGCAGTACCCAACTGCGTCCTTCGACAAAGCTCCGTGACCAACTTACAAACGAAAGCAGGCGGTCTTCTCACAAGAATCAAACCAACACCGGCGGCAATATCCGCACGAACTCCAAATCACGATGATCTTAACACACGAATCTCACCAAACTACTTCTGCAAAATCCAAAAGAGCTCCAAGTCACCACACACTTACACCGACTTCGTCCAAAAGCACTATAACGCCGGCTACACTTCCAGTATCGTTAACTCCATGCACATAGCATCTCACAACATACTCATGTCAAACCATAAACGTGCTCACGCTCACTCGGCGTCTTCCAAGCGGGTTCACACGGGCCTTCAGTAGATAACTGATTCGGTGAGGAAGATTCACAAGCCAATCAACGCAGTATCGAAGACACAGGTTCAAAAAGCTCATGTATATTCCAGTACAAGAGTACAAAAGCACACATGTACAAAGATTGCATGCCGGTTGGGTATGGCTCCCCGACCGGTTTCGATGGCAGCCACGCGGTCATCCTCAGGGGGTTTCCACCGTACTACATCCGATGCTCACGCCGCCTTCCACTCACCCACCTCCGCCGTTGACCCACTAAAAACAGTAAGTGGTCGCTAGCGTTGGACCCGGAAAAGAGCAACTGTCACGCAATCATTACCTACATAGTCCGCAAAGAGGCATTGCCTCGGTCTGTCCCTTTAGGCAGCTATTGCGTTACCAGTTTGAGATCAGACCAGTTCGAAAAAACAACAAACACAAGAAAATGAACAAACAGAACACAAACGACTAAAAACGGAACACATCACACACAGAGCCTACCTCCAGCAAGTGCTAAACCACACCTAGAAATCGGAGCCTACAGACAGTGGCACAGTGAAGGTACCCGGTTCAAATCTCCTCACAGTCCCCAACGGATCATACGAAAAGCAAACAGCAGTACCGAGGTACCATGATCGAAACTCTGTCCTCATAAGCCTGGGAGTAGGCTGGGCGCTGAGCGCCATGTAGCAGGAAGGGCTCTGGATACTTATGTTGGTGATGGCGAGTATATGCTCTCATCGATACTCGTTTTCAGTGTTCTGGTTCTCTATTGGTGTAATATCGGTGCAATTCTGCTTTCTGGACAGTGGTGAACTTCCTGGCTTTCAATGTGATTTTGCAATGTGAGATCTCTGTCATTTCGCTATTGCTCATTTTCCTTGCAAATTAATAAATAATAAATATTAAAATTTGCATTCATTAAAATTTATGAATGTTTCACAATTGTTGCACTAAAAGATCAAAGATTATTATTTTGTTAAAAATTTATCACGATCCAAATTATTACAAAAGCACGCTTGAGACGCTCAGACTTTGCACTCGCTGCTCCCTTCCCCCTCCCCTTACCCCCCTCCTCGGTACTGACCCCCTTATGCTCTCGTGGCATTTGGCTGTATAAACATTTTTTCCTGACAGGGAATTTTTGGATCTGAAGGGTTGAATTGCATTCATTCATTCTGCTCCTCTATTTTTGAGAAGAGAGGAAATCGCAACTATAACAGCAACGCGCACGGCTTTTCACACGTCATCGGCTACTTCTCTATTTCCAACTGCAATTTGGTCTAAATGGGGATAATTTTGTGAAGCTGACGGGTCCGCGTTTCAACTGCGGCGAGGAAGCTCCTTTTCATGTAGTACCTGTTTTGTACAAGTCACCGTCTTGCCGAGCAATGAGCAAAAAGTGGTCCTCTCCCTCTCCCCTCCCTCCCCCCTCCCTCTCCCCTCCCTCTCCCCTCCCTCTCCCCCCCTCAGGGCAGTAGCAATCGTACATCTTCCAGAACCTGGTTTTTCTTCTTCTTCTTTTTTCTTTTTCCCTTTCTTTTTTGAATGCAGGTAGCACACATTGTGTTTCTGCATCAAAAGAGCCCGCAAAAGAGCGCGCTCTGTGCTTTGTGCTTTATGTGGCTATTTACATTATAGCCACAGGTCTTGGAAGACCTCCTTGTATGGCAAGTATCGGTCGTACGCATGGCAGGGTACTCAACGTTGCTGCAATGGAGAAATGATCCTGAAATTCTAGACCCTTCTGGACTCCTCAACTGTTAGCAAGCTATTGGAAAAAAGGGGAACAAAAGGGAAAAAAGAGAAAAAAAAGGACTGTTGGCTTTTGATCGTACAGAGGAGGGAGGGATTCGTTGCATCGAGTGGACCTTTTCCTCCCTTGGATTGCTGGATGAAGGAAGAGGTCTCTTCTGCATTCAATGAACTTGTTCTCTACTAGATGCAAGGCTGTTAGAGACTTGTTGACTCCTTGATGTGGCGACTCGTCGACTCGCCGATGTGCCAACTCGTTGTCGACTCACTGACTTGCCGACGCTGGCCTATTAGAGTTAGCAATGTGGATTCTGATCTGATTGTGCCGTGCTTTTAGTTTAGCAGACCGCCGACTTGTCGATTCGTCGACTCATCGACTCACTGACTCGTCGACTCACTGACTCACCCACTTGCGGACTTGCCAACTTTTCAATGGAGTCGCCTGCGGCCTATTCGAGTTAGCAGTGTATATTCTGGTCTGATCGTTTTGCGCTCTCGGCTTTAGAAAACCCTGGTTTCTGATTTGCGTACGTGTGTAGGAGAATGTGTGGAATTGGCCCCCGGTCCGCCGATTTGAGTTCAAGTACCGACTGCGGCTGCATGTTTGCATTTTCTCTAATAAATGAGAGGGTAGGCCTTACACTATTGCGTCCCTCTGATCTGATGAACATTCAAACTCATGATCTGTTTACTTAACTCTACCAACAATTGCATTTGCATACCATTCGTTCATCCACTTGGGCTGGATACCAATGCACCTGTAATAATCTTGTTTTGTACGGTTTGAACGCTAGATCATTCGTGTGAAACAGTCCCCGATGAACTGGCAAATGTCTCTCTACCTATTATTTTCTCTCAGCAATGTCAGCATTGATTGAGCTCCTGCGTGGGTAACGAACCCACTGCAGCTCAAATTATTTTTTTGCTATCGGTTTGGAATAAGGCTGGACTGCAAAGTCCTTTGGGACATCCGTTCAAATTGGAACGATACAGAGCGAAAAGATTAACATGGCCCCTGCGCATTAAAAAAAAAGAAAAAAAAAAAGAAAGAAACGCTGGACTGCAAATATTACTGATCTGTGTAGTGCACTTGTTGTAACTTTTAAGTTTTAACTCCATTGAGTTGTTTTGTTTCCCCAACCCCCCCCCCCCCCCCCCCCCCCCCCCTTCCCTTAAGATCAAGTGTTTTTTTTTTTTTTTTTTTTTCGTTGTGTGCTTTTTTTTTCTGTACTTTTGATTGCATCAGGATTCAAACTTTGGTCTGTATTTCAACAGTTCATGCATTGGGTGTACCAACTAAGCTAGACCCGTTGCCGGTTGTGTTTGTTGTTTTTTTGAAAAAGGGGGTAGCAGCAGCAACCCCTCCTAACATCGTTATACACGTGATTTCGTCAAGATACACGCTCGTGAACTGTTTTATTAACCATCGTCATCTGTGTAGCATTCGGCCACACGGGCTGGGTGTCTGGAACTCTGCATCGAGTTCTAAATGTGCATAGTGAACCAGCAAAGTTCTTTTTTTTGTGTTTTTTTTTTTTTTTTTTTTTTTGGTTGGTCANTTTTTTTTTTTTTTTTTTTTTTTTTTTTTTTTTTTGGTTGGTCAACTTGTTTTGTGTTTTTTTTTGAACAAGGGGGTACTGATAGTAACCCCTGCGAACCTTGTTATAGCGACTTGATTTTGTGAGGATTCGCACTTCTGAATTGTTTTTAACTAATATCTTCATCTGCATAGCATTCAGCCACATGAGCTGTTTTTTTTTTTTTTTTTAACTCCATCAACAAATTGAACAAGCAAAAAGTTTAACATGGGCAAATAGGACAAGGAGAGTTTAGCAGACAATCAGACGTACGAGCTGTGGGTTTTGTTTGTTTTTGTTTTGTGTAAGATGCTGCACATAGTGTACAGCGAACAGATCGTACCGTACATGTCATCAGTGTAGTACTTTTGATTAAGTTATGATGATATATCACATCGCTCGTTGCTAGGGAATTTGGCGGCTATTTTGGTGTGCTAGTTTTGCACTCTTCTGTGGAATTTGTGGTTGCCGTAGAGAGTCTCAGAAGCTTTTCTCATCATCGTTCTAGCCGCATTTGGCACTTAGGGAAATTTGTGTACTGCTGGCATTTGCAGATGTAGTGGGTGAGCACTTTGTGAGGTAGTAACCCCAAAGGGCCCAAACTGGCATTTCAGGGGGTACCAATGTCTGTTACCTGCTTGGTACCGCTAACTTAGTACCATTTGTCGCCAAAGGGCCCAAACTGACAATTCATGGGGGGGCCACTGCTTCATGAAGTGGCAGGGGTTCCATTGTCCCACTCTGGAAAGCTGTTCTGTGAAGTTGTTGGTGTTCGGACATCGTTGAGATAGTCCAATCATGCCTAGTACGCAGACTGGCGATGGGATCCACTTTTTCCAACCGTTAACCTTTATGCGTCGGTTATAGCAGCCAAACACCTGTGTTCTGCCATGTGGTGGGCGTCGGGACACCTTCGACATGGGCCCGTCACGCCTACGGAGACTGGCGACGCTGTCTGTTTGTTCCGACTGTGAACTGTTATGACTCCTTCATAGCAGCCAAACTCGGGACGCTAAGTTTAGTGGCTACCCAGCGGGTTCGTCTGCATGGTCCCATGTTCCCGTCCTGCATTCCATAGCACGTATTTCCCTCACAGGTCGGGTTGGCTTCGTCAAACCTTCTTTTCAGGTCCGCACGCGCAAGCACATATGGCCTCGAACTGCCGGCAAATCGCAGCGATGGGTGGGATGTTGTGCAGAACTGTGGTTCCCTCCCTGGTTGGAAGAAGTGTGCGATGAATGGCTACAAGTATTCTATCCTATAGCATGGAAGGGGTGGCGGTGTGTCGGACTTTCTGCCGAGCTGCATTCTTCCGACACGCTTCTGCATAACAATCCTGCCCTCCCAGATCGCCAGAAAACTGTCGGGAAGTGGGACGGGTGTATTTTGTGTTTCTTTAAGGGCAACGGCCTTGTGATATCGTCTTTCAACTGATCGGCCCCAGGTAAATTCAGAGTTGTTTTCACTCATCTGATCCCGTTGGAACCTGAACTCGGGTCTGCGTTTCAGCAGTGCATGGGTGTACTAACTGATTCTAGGCCAGTTGGTAATTGGGGTGGGTATCACATAGGCAGTCGGTGTCACAGTCAACTTGTTTGATGCCACCTCCCTGACGAAGCGTGTGTCATAACGAACGGGCGGCAAAAACAGTCGGTAGACTAGTCAAATTGTTTGATCCCGCCTCCCTTAAGAAGCGTGTGTCGTAACGAACAGGCGGCACAAACAGTCGGTAGACTAGTCAAATTGTTTGCTGCCGCTTCCCTTAAGAAGCATACGTCATGGCGAATGGGCGAGGCATAATGTACATTTAGCATACATTGATTCTTTCAGATCGTAGCACGGGATCGTCAGGGCCCTCCCTTAAAGATATGTCTTAGTGGAATCGATCGGGTTCTGTGGAGAGTGACCGCAGCACCTCATCCAGGTCAGCCATGGCTATAATTGCGGTTCCCCCTCCCTGCTCCAGTCGGTCAGTTTGCGGTCGATTGGAGCGGCGCTTTGGAACCGCGGTCTGGCATCCTCAACAGTATGCAGCTCGGCATCGCTGCATTGCCACTCCTGAGCTGGGTTTCTACTGTGATAGGATCGCTGAGACCTGGAATAGCAGACGCCGACAGGAGGAGCAGAATCTGGTCCACTTGGTGCCAAGACTGATCCGGAAATCAATGCGTGCCAGTTTATTTGATGGCAGTTCACAATCACTTGAACAACTGAAAGTGCATCGTTATCGCAGCTGTTGCATTCGATGGTGTCGTGGAGAACACCGAAAGGGATCTCTTTCACTGTGCACCTGCTGCAAGGCTGCGTTGTACTCCTCTCTTACCACATCCTTCATGTCTTGTATTATACGTGCCTCGACTCTTGCTAACAAAGTGTCTGCCTCTTCTCGGCGGGAAGCATCAGTCAGCTTCCAAGGGGACTCTCCCTCGCTTTCTATGGGACAGTCAGGTTGTGCGGGTTCCGCTGACTCTGTGCCCAAAGCATGTATCCTTCCCTCTGACTTGCCAACCTCTCTCTCTCCCACATGTTCTCGTCATTCTCCTCATTCTCCACCCTGCTCCACTAACCAAGCAGGCGAGAGCATCCTTTGTAGGGATCCACTACGATCGGATGGAAAACCTTTGCTTCTCTCTGTGATAGCATCAGTGGTGATGCTCCTAACGATAGGGTTGCAACCGACAGGAGCAGGAGCTGTACCGGAGCCAGAGGACCAGGCCCGTCTTGGATTTCCTTGTGAATTAGCCTCACCTGCCACTCTCGTGCATCCCGACAGCATGCATGTCCTTTCCGACTGTACGTCTAGTCGCCAATCGCCTGCTCTAGTAGGGACTCGGGGTCATGAAGCCCCTGGTGTACTACTACTAGGCAGCAAGGGCGCATCTTTTCTTGGACACCTCAAAGCCCCTCCCCTCATTTCGATGAACAGGCTTACACAAGATACCGATGGTCAAGACGTGATCGTGGAGGTCGCGGATGCAGGCGGCATCTCTCCTGCTCCTGGTTCCGAGCCCTCCTCGCCACCTTCTGAGCAGGGGACCGCGGTTCAAACCCATTCGAACATGCCTTCGGAGGGTGACACGTTTCCTGCTCCAGCGTCACCAGAATTTGTGGTTTTGGAAGTCTGGAAGCTCGTCGACGAAAGCTTCTTGGACGCGCGGCACAAAGGTTGGGATGCTGATAAATGGGAGCATCAAGATGTGTTGAAACGGCCGATCCGAAGCAAAACTGCTGCTTATAACACGATAAAAAACATGCTCGGGAGCCTTAACGACCCCTACACGAGATTCCTGTCACCCGATCAGTTTGCGCAGCTATCTAAGTATGATATCACCGGAATCGGACTAAACATCGGGGAAGATGCCGATCCGAGCAGTGGACGAACTGTCATTAAGGTCATCGGGCTGGTGATCGGGAGTCCAGCAGAGGTAGCAGGTGTGCAGCAGGGAGATGAGCTGCTGTCTGTTAACGAGGAGAGGGTGGAAGGACGCTCCGCCTTCGAAGCTGCCTCACTTATTCAGGGGCCAAAGGGCTCGCTTGTAACGTTGACCCTACGAAGCCCAGGAGCCGGCGCTACCAGGCAGGTAGTCGTAAAAAGACAGGGAGAAGTCACATCCCCAGTTCAGTACAAGTTAGCGAAGATGTCGGGTGAGGACGTAGGGTACATTCGCATCGGCGAATTCAATGCTTTGGCTCTGCAAGATCTAATGATAGCCATGCAGAGGCTTGAGGCAAAAGGCGCGAAGTCGTACATATTAGACCTGCAAGACAACCCAGGGGGGCTGGTTCAGGCGGGCATCGAAGTCGCGAAGCTGTTTCTGGAGCCGGAATCTGTAGTCGTTCACACCGTCGGCAGAGATCCGTCATCGTTCAAAAGCGTGGTGACGAAACAACCTGCGTTCAGCAAAGCGCCCTTAATGCTCATGGTGAATAGCCGCACAGCAAGTGCGAGCGAGATCGTGGCGGCAGCCCTGCATGATAACTGTCGGGCCGTGTTGATTGGTCGACGGACGTACGGGAAGGGGTTGATACAATCGGTCTACGAGCTTAGCGATGGGTCAGGCGTCGTCCTGACGGTTGGAAAGTACGTGACCCCTTCGCGAAATGACATAGATGGGAATGGGATCGAGCCAGACTTCCGGAACACGCCAAGCTTTGCAGAAGCGATGGATCATCTCACGCAGTGCAGATCTTCGGGAAAAGGAGCACAGAGTGCTGGCGTGGGCAAACCGAAGGAGAAAGTCGCTGCTGCTCTTCAATTGCCCGCTCCCCTCCTTTAGAAAACTTTTGTGCATTGACTTGCCTTGCAACTCTCTCCTTGAAATGATTATTTATTCCCGCTGTGGCCCCCTTGAATCCTCCCTCCTCCAAAATGATTATTTATTCCCGCTCTGCCCCCTTTGAATCCTCCCTCCCTCCCTCCCTCCCTCCCTCTCTCTCTCTCTCTCTCTCTCTCTCTCTCTCTCTCTCTCTCTCTCTTATAGCAAACAAAGGGAGAAGAGACTATGCAGGCTTAGCTGTCAGGAGACCACACATATTGCTTAGTGTCACGAGTCATGACAAAAGGCAATGTTCGCTAAGGACATCCGCACCATAGTGAAAAAAGGAGAGGGATGTGGCGCTTCCCCCGCTCCCCCCCCCCCCCAACAAAAAAAAAAGAAAAAAAAGAAAAGGAGAGAGGGAAAAAAAAGGACTGTCGAGCCATGTTGAGTAAATCTGACCGAAGTTGCAGGCTTCACAGTCTGCGGACGAAGCGCACATTGCTTATTGTCACGAGAAAAGGCAATCATTGCTGGTGGCTAAGGACCGTATGGGACTTGGTCGAGTTGCAGCAGATGTAGCGTCATCTCTCTCTCTCTCTCTCTCTCTCTCTCTCTCTCTCTCTCTCTCTCTCTCTCT